ATCATCATAAATGCAGGAGTAAATTAATTGCGAAACATTGGTTTGTAATTCAGTAACACTATTGTTGACCTGATTAGTTTTAGTGGATACCTTACCAGAAGGTGCTTGATCATGCTTTAGCTCTAGATCATAATTGTGTACGTCATGTTAATCATGTCCTCGCAAAGAATAGACAGTTCCTATCAATTACTTCTCAAGACTTCGACCATATTTTTACACCTTTGATTATTATGCTTCACAGGAAGGGGATACCCGCGAACATATAGTGACAATCGATTCAACTTCCTACGTAAAACTCCGAAAATTTATCTCTGTTGATACTCTGGATAAGAATTTAGGGAGGAAGTATGGGAAGACAGTAATCAGTTACCCTCTATCAGGAGCAGAGGAAGCAATGACGGAGAAGCAGGTGAAGAGGGGCACTAGAAATGGTAAGCGGAAATATGCGAAATATCTAGTAGTGATAACATATGAAGCGGCAAGAAAAGGAAACATGAGACAACAATACGGTAGGACAAAGAAGCTCGAAAATGTAACAAACCAGAACAGCCATTCAAGAAATAAGAAGATAAAACAGCCACCAACATTCAAGAACAGGGAAACAGGTGGTTCGGGCTGTTTGAAGAACTCTTGAATAGACCATCACAAGTACACCCAACATCACCTATCGACCTATCAACAATTGAAGAAATTGGCATGGCCAACAAATAAAACACGAGTGGTAACGTAGCCGGACCAGACAACATATCATCTAAGGAATTGAAGCAGACATAGTAGTAACTGAAAAAATGCTCCACGTCCGCCTCAGCAAGATTTGGGAAGAAAAATTCCCAGCAAACTAAAAAGAAGGGTTCTTATTCGGATACCAAAGAAAGGGGATTTTAGCCAGTTTCAAAACTCCAGAGGCATCACTCCACTCTCAAAACCAGAGAAGTTATTTAGCAGAGTGTTGTTTAACTAGCAGAAGGTTTTACTAGAAGCTCAACCCTTTTATCATCGAAGGAAGCAAAACAATCATCAACGTAAAAGGTTATGTCTGTTACCTTCACCACTTTTGGTTTATCTGACCCAAACAGAGTTATAGCTTGAACCAATACAACGCTTGCACAGAAAGTTGGTGATGTGGCTTAAAAGAGTAAGCAGTTGTTTGGTACTCATAGATGAATATCCTCTAATCGTCGTCCCACCGAAGGTATCTCAGGTGACACATTACCCAGTAATAACATCTCGCCTATATCTGTAACTGCAAATGGATACTGTTTGAATCTTAATAACAAAAACACACAATGTCGCCTTGATGCTTCCCCGAGTAGTCAAATAAAACACTAACCCTTCTCAGTTTTCTTAACTGGGGAGTCTGACAAGTACCAGCTTCTAGACATCTCTTCTGCAACTCTTCCATATACTACGTCCAAAAATTAGCATCCTTTTGAATCAGTGCCGATGACTGCCACTTCTTCATTTAACGGTATTCTTTATATTAACCTTTTCGAGGGAGGACCGGTCGACAAATGGTCATTATTGATTTCAAATGATCTGGTATCTTCAACAGACAATGGCCTCACTTCCGAATTACTGCCGTTGACTTCCTAAGCGGTTTGCTTTCTTTCTTTCTATATCTGGTTTCAATCTTGTGTTGACAAAATTAGGTTCGATCATCAACTGCACCAGTCCTCCTACGAGATAACCTAAATGTGCTTTAGTCAAATATAACTATTTGCTAACTGTGAATACCAGCTACAGAAGATGATGATGGAAGTAATAGAAACCATATATCTTTTATCCAAGAACGTACGAATGAACGACAGTTTGTTTAATGGGGCATTTTCTTAAATAGAGCGTCATCTGGCGGCAGTACTATTGCTGACCCTATGCGCTACGTTGTATAAGCTGTATATATGCGAATCATTGCATTACGCACTAGGTACTTCATGGTAAATGACAATTTCTCATCACCACCTATCTGGAACAGTCACCATGTTGACAGAAAAGTACTTTTCCTTATTTGCGATGCCGAGTCGATTTACCGATCTAGCATATATTATTAATATGTGTGACCGGTTATACATTATTTCATAAACCTCCTCACATTATGATGGCCCATTAATTACGACTATTTTGCCTTCTAAATAATTCCTCTCAACATCAGGTGTAATAACAGTATATTTTCATTTTATCACTAATCATCTGACTGTCACTGCACTATGCTCTTCAGTCCGATCCTTCAACCAATGATGGATATAGTCACACTGGATCTACATAGACTGAAAATGTGTACACCTAAACATTGAAAGCATAAATATTTCCCTCACATAAAATACATTCTTCACTGCGCAGGCAGGCTTACAAACTTGACAAAATACTCATGACGAAATTTTTCACTGCACATCTCATAATCAGTTATTATGTCTACTTCATCAACAATTCTAGTAGCCAGCGCTCGTTTTTGAGCTGCCAAATAAATTAGTCTAGATCTGTATTTAAACTGCAACGGAAAATCTACTTAAAGTCTCATTCACTTTGTAGCTGACTAACTCTGAGACATCTAAAACACTAGATCTGTAACTTCCTTCTCTATGGCAGCACTGACTTTTATCCGTTTCCTTTGTAATCGTATCGGGAAATGCTCGATTATTTCCAGTATTGCAGTTATCGGGTCCAGTATCTGCTAGCAAACTATCTAAAAAGTTTGAACTGTCCTTTAGCTCATCAATAACCTGTTTATTTCACCATTCAGCAAATTCGAAGTCTCTGCTTTCAACAATAGATGATCTTACAGATCCTTGTTTTATTATTCTCTTCCCCTCACTATATGGTCCCGAGGTCAGTAAAACTCCGAACACCTAGTCGCTCTTACGGCTGCCCTAGTACACTCCCTAGCTGAATACATAGATTTTACTTACCCGAAAACTGATCATCTACTAACAGAACTTCACCCTCTTTATTAAACTCAGGATAACCAGAACAATCATCGTCAAAATGTTCAGGTACGTATTGAATAAGTTTAAAACATATTTTGTTAAAGTCACCCTTAGAACATAGCCTAACATTTACTTCACTTCTACCATACATATAATCAGTACAAAATTAGGCAAAATTCCACTTCACCCACGAATATTCATAACGGTTAGGATTGACAGCTGACAGAAACTGTTGTGGTTGGAATATTCAAGTCCAGATTAGGAATGTAATATCAACTGCTTAATCTAGAATCAAGAAACGAGAATGCTCCATACCTATGCAACACTAGAGCAGACTACCTCATCATAGGGGAGCATCTTATACTCGCCTCATGGCCATGGTAATGGTGGAGATATCATTCGGTTTGTTGTCCTACACAATACATATCATGCAGACCACACACCTGGAAAGTGAAGAACACGGGGTAATCGATCCACTGAAGGCTTGCTACAAACGAAAAGGAAACCCTGGCATAAGTAGAAAGTCTCTCTGAAAGATTTTGATCATTGTTCTCACTTAGCATTGAGAAACACATGCAGCACCAAATTTGAAGCGAAAGGACATATATCCAGACTAAATGAAGAGACGAAATACTAGCAAACCCTGAAGTCCTTTAGTCTCATGACTGGCAGAAATCTTGTAAACCATGTTCGCTTCAGCGTCCTAACGGAAAAGATCGTACCGCATTCCAGATGTTTGGTAGCTGCACAAACTTCACTAGCTACTTCAATCAGGTACGTACATGCACGGAACACTTGATAGCGACTATTCGTCGAATGTGATGGAATAAGTGGTTACTGAACAAATTAGGGAACCCGTTGATAAAAACGATTTCCTGCATGAAGCCCGAAATCGGTGTGGGAGAGCATGGTCGTGTACAGACCATGACTTGGCCAAGGCATGACACAATGACACATGTGGCCGTAATCGCAAATGTTATGCAGATGGGCGTCACTGACTCAACACTGTCTTGGCTACCTAAAAACCCGTAAAACAGGATGTTTCGTGAATGGTAAAAAAATTCACGCGAGCTGACGAATCTCAATAGGCAAAGGACTATCTTACATCCCCTGCTCATCATGATTTGTACTAATGACCTTTTCGGTAAAGTCTACTTAACAGCACTAATCTATATGTGTGGTGAAAAGATCTGTAGATACATGAGAACACAAAAGGAACCTCAAAACAGTGGTTCCCTTTGATAAATTTGAATAGAGAAATAAGAAGACATATTTTGTGAGATAGTGGTACCATTTCGTGCTTTCTCGTCAGTCACATACAAGCAACATGTTATTTGTGTAAATACAGTTTTGAAGATAAGGTCAAAATATCCTATTTGGCATGACATTCACTCACTAGAACCATGGCAAAAAAAAGGTCAACATACAGTTGTTTTTGAACACATGAAGTTGGACTTTTCCGACCAATCAAGATAGCTTCGAGTAGTTTCAGTGTGTGTGGGTTTTGATTACATGTCACAACTCTTAAGGCTGATTTTGGGTCAATTTGATGACAACTCATCATTAGATGTTTCGCGATGGACGAGGCTGGGTTTCTTGATCGATTTTGAGATGATGGGCTAGGTTGATGAATCAAGGAACCGTTTTAGTTTCAAAATCACTTTAAAGAAATTGGGAACAGAGTAGCAGACAAAAGATTTAATCTCAGCCAGTCCAAAAGTAATGCCATGCTCCCAAACGTTTGTGAAGCACATGTTTTCTATTAAGAATTAGAAATATTTCTTTATAATGTTCGAAACACTAGCCAGCCTATCTTCGGCCTTGTAGAGTGATAACTGTTGGTATCCAGAAACTCAACTGCCGCCACACAAACACACTCAACCAAAATATAAGACATAAAAACTCATAAATGATGGCTAAATAAATAAAAGTAGTGCAGTCGATTTACTAGAATACTAACCAACGAACATTAATGATAGTTTGGAACAGTTGAGACAGAAGGTAGCGAGCCTAATGAAATCAGTCGATAAACACTTACTAGTAGAAATGATATTTGATATATATATCACTACAAAACACCTGGAACCGTAACAAAAGAACAGCAATAGAGTACCAAGAAACCAATTCGTCTATACTAGCTCGAGAAAAAGACATTGGATATTGGATTTTAGAGGCTTTCTGAATAATGCGTTACGGTATAACATTTATGAGTTTGAGAAAATATTGTGCTTATCTTCATTCCACCATTTTCCCTAAAAGCTTTGATTTGGCCTGTGTAACGCAGTTTTCCAAAATAGGATTTACGAACCTGTCTCAACCAAACTCACTATCGAACGCTGAATATGAGTCTGTATCAAATAGAACTCTTGAATTATTAGCAGATTCCTTTGAGCAGCTTCCAGAACGTTTTACATTAGACAAAGAGTATGATGTAGAACACGCTTATGGTGTTTTGAAAGTCACTTTTGGTCCTCAAGTTGGAACTTATATAATTAATCGTCAAGCACCAAATAAGCAATTATGGCTCTCTTCTCCACGAAGTGGTCCTAAACGTTACGATTACATTCCATCAATGCGTCTGTGGATCTACAAACATGACGGCAAATCCCTGCATTCCCTTCTCAGTGAAGAGATCTCTGCTATTGTTGGCGGTGATGTAGAGTTTCCAAGCTAAACTTGTTTTCCTGCCATTCGCATAATTTCTTAATATATATATTCCCCCTATCCAAGCTACTTTTATCGAACCTATAAGATCCAGTGATTTGTGTATATTCAAGCATGTCTTGTTGCAGGACTTATTTTGTCAGTCGAAACCATATGTCAGAATTAATACACTGATAGAGTGCTTATTTTGTACATACGAATTCATTTCTTTCAAAATGACTGATTTTTAAAACATGTGTTAGTTTTTTTTTAGCTGTGTTGGTATTGAGATAATCTGTTAGTGATACATAAAAGTGTTTGAATAAAGGTCGTTTTTGATAGCCTTTAGATTAAGGTACTATGTAGTATTGTCTGTGTAGAGCTATTTGAGGAATGGTAGCCTATTTGCTAAAGCTCTAGTCCTCAGTCACCATACTGTAACATAAAAATCAATCTAGTCAGTGTTTATTGTTCTGTATCAAATGCATCGACTAATTGCAAAGAATGTACGGTAGTTTTACTCGCTATATGCTCCGTGAGATTAATTACGGTAAATACTGTTTACTGGTCGACCATATAACACTATCTTGTGGCAGTACTTGACTTGATCAACGTGCTGACTCTAAACTCCAATGAATTCGTTAACCAGTGTGGGCTTAACATCCTTATCCTGTGATTTCGACATGTCCTTTACTAAACTCTACTGTACCTGCTTCCTTGATGTGGTGGTCGGGCTTGACAATCGTTAAGATCCAACCGAGCTATATTGGCTGGAACATATGTTCCTGTAGATTTTACCATGCCAGGCAGGTCGATTGGAGGACAGTCAGTCAGTCAGTTGCAACGTAGAACTTCGTACGCATGTACATAAGTTCATGTTGCCATACCACATTATTAGCACACAGACGCAAATGTCAAATCAAATCCCATAGTGATAAAGATAGTTGAGGTATTAATGTTAATAAAGAAGACTAGGGTTTGAAGATATTATTCAAAAAATATAATTCAGTGAGATAAGGTTAGAAAGACAAAGGAAGAGGTGCTGAAGAATCCAGAAGATTAGGATTTGAGAGAGCTCAAAGAGTGGATGCACCTGCGCCATTGCAAACGATTTTGAGCCATGTCGTTCAAGGTCTCTAACCATTGATGACTTTCGTCTCGCGGACCCCAACCAGGTAGTCTACATCTACCAACATGACTCAGTCCACTTGTCAGTGACTTCATGGATTTGTGCCATGTTTTGGTCTGGCCGCCCCTAACTTTCTTCCAACCTACTCCTACACCACAAAACATAGCTCGTCGGGGCAGTCGGTGGTTAGGCATACGTAACACATGTCCCAACCACCTCAACTGATGAAGTTTCACCACTTCATCTATTAATCTGCCATCCTTACCTAGTACTCGTTTCCTAACGACAGCATTGCTTACTCGGCTGTCCCACGATATACGAGCAATGCTTCTTAAACATCTATGATCGAATACTAGTAACCTACGAACATCTTCTACTCTTAACGGCCATGTTTCACAGCCATATAAGAGAACGGAACGAACTGCTGCGCAGTACACCCGCCCTTTGGTTAGCGAACGGATATCACGCCTACGCCATAAGTGACGCAGGTTGGCAAAAGCCAATCGAGCTTTCTGTATCCGAGCTGAGATTTCGTCAGTCACCAGACCGTCAGCACTGATGAGACTCCCCAGATAAGTGAAGTGATCAACACGCTCGACTACTTCACTCCCTATCACTAGTTCAGGTGCCAATGCAACCCAGTCTTGAAGCAACATTTTGCATTTCGAGGGGGAAAACCGCATCCCGAACATGCTCGCATTGTTGCTTATGGTAGTCAGAAGACTCTGCATTTTGTCAGCGTCTTCACCGAATAGAACTATGTCATCGGCATATTCTAGATCAGTAAGCGACTTTCCTGGTAGAAGGTCAACCCCTGAAAAATCTGACGAGCTTAATGTTAACTCTAAGAGGATGTCTACGACAAAGTTAAACAAGAATGGAGAAAGTGGACATCCCTGACGGACACCACTTGATGTAGAGAATTCAGATGACAGTTCGCCATATGCTCTCACCCGACCAGTGGTGTTCGAGTAGAGAGCTTGTATAAGGTTAATGTACTTCTTTGGTACACCTTTCAATGACAGACACTGCCACAGAACCTCACGATCCACTGAGTCGAATGCCGCCTTAAGGTCCAGGAACACGACTATCGTCGGACGTCTAAATGTGTGTCTGTGTTCCAGGACCTGTCGTAGTGTGAAGATGTGGTCTATACAACCACGTCCAGGTCGAAAACCAGACTGGTTTTCTCGAGTCTGCTCTTCACGAGCTCTAGTTAGACGTCTAAGTATAATCGAGGCTAACAATTTAGAAACTATATTAGTTAAACTTATTCCCCTGTGATTGTCACAAGAGGACTTCTGTCCTTTCTTGTAGATTGGGACAATTAGCGACTGAGACCAGTCAAATGGGATTACGTCCATTTCCCAGATTCTACCTAGGATCTCGGTCAGTCTAACCGTTAAAACTGGACCACCATACTTAAACATCTCAGGGGTAAGCCTGTCGGGACCTGCCGCTCTACCTCCCCTTAGATTTCCTATAGCTTTCTCAACTTCATGTAAACTGGGAGGACTTAAATCGATTTGCCATTCGGGATGACTGGAGATCGTGGGCAACCGAAGTGTGGCTGAAGGCCAGTTGAACTGATCCCTAAAGTGTTCTGCCCATCGGTCCAGCCTCCTAGATTGAGAATGGATAATAAGACCATCCTTTTCCGAGATAGTCTCACTCACATTCGGGTTCCTAATACCGGTTTCTTTAATAAGGCGGAAAAGTTGTCTAGTGTTGCCTATCGCCGCTGCCTTTTCCATCGCTTTTGCTTTCGCCACCCACCACTGTTCACGGTCGTTACGTAGGCTTTTTATAAGTCTGCGCCTAAGCTGACTACGCTCTTCATCATGTTCAGAGTCAGGTGGGATGCGTTTTCGAGCATCCATCAGTTCGGTGGATGCGACTGAAATCCACTGCTTCATCCTAGCCTTGTGGTTTACCTTGCTAGCAGATACCATTGCTGTTTCCACAGCCTTCTTGATATGATTCCAACCTGCTTCAGGATGGGAATCACTTGCATGGTCGCCTAACTGTTTTTCTAGTTCCTCCTGAAATATTTTCTTAGCTTGATTATCATCAAGTGAAGCCCTAAGAGGCTTGCTTACGGTGTCTTTCCTACGTCCAGCAAGCCTCAAACAAATACGTGCTCGCACTAGGGCATGATCTGAATCTAAACATGTGCCCCAGAACGAGCGACAGTCCTCTATCGAACCCCTCCATCGGTGGCTGATGGCGATATGATCTAGTTGTGTCCAACGTTGAGACGACTTTGGGGGTCGCCAGGTCAAAAGGTGTTTTTCCTTATGCTTAAAATTAGTGTTTGCTAGAAATAGTTGGTTATCTGAGCACAGTTGCAACAGACGGTCGCCATTGTCTGTTCTTTGAGCCGCGAGACCGTAACATCCACCTAGGTGTCTTTCATTTTCACTTAGTCTACCTACTTGTGCATTGAAGTCACCAGCCATTATAACTATATCAGAGCGCTTAACTTTTTGGAGGAGGTCCGAAAGCTTTCTGTAAAACTCATCTTTTACATCATCTGGGCTGCAGTCAGTGGGGGCGTAGGCTGATATGACGAAGAGGCAACGGCGAGTGTCCCTATCTTTCCGAGTCCTTACTGTCCCGTTGAGTCGGACAGCGCACAAGCGACTATCTACAGGGATCCAGTCAAGGAGAGATTGTTCTGCCCTACGACTCAATGCTATACCTACACCGGCGAGGCCCCTAGAAGCAGCATCAAGGCTACCGGATACACGAAGGGTAAATCGAGCTGCTTCTTTATCTTGACATGGTGAGGTCAAATGAGTGATGCTACTCGGATCCTGTATGCGCGTTTCCGAGACGCAGCACACATCGATGGAACGAGATTCTAAAGTCCTAGCTAATGATGCCTGTTGCCCTATTTGACACAATGTCCGTACATTGAATGCTCCAACATGTAGTTTGGAACGGGGTTTAAGGAGACCAGGAACGACGTTTCGCAAACTCGCATCGTTTGCATTAGCTGTGCACTGTAATAAATGAATGTGAGAAGAGTTAGTTGTGGAGATAAGAGAGGTATTAGGGAATGTAGGAAGGATTGGAGGACGGTGAGACTAAAAGCAGCAACTCAAGGTCTGCTGACTGTAGCGAGGTATAACAACAGTAAGATGTTTTCCCCGGACAACCAGCATCTGCAGTAATGCTGCCTTCTCACAAGGAAGGAAAGGGTTAAAAAAAGGTCAACCCTAAAAATGACACCTTAACATTTTGCACGGATTCCCGTCTCCGGCGATAAGGCCCTTTAAAAATAGAGGAGCTAACACTAAGAACTCATAAAAAAGCTGTGCGTGACCGGCCTTAAGCAGTTGTCGCTTGGGCTCTGAAATCGCGCCGCCAGGTTTCTAAGATCAAAGTTAATCTACCTTTTTTTGCAGGTTTCTCAAGAAACGCCCACGGAGTGAGTGGCTGGGATGTGACGTCCGCCCTCATACGTAACAACACACCAGAACAAATTGGTCACAATCGAATTCTCCCTACACACCCTAACGTCTCATCTCCAAGATCAACCCTTCTTTTTTTATTTTGTCACCCTTCCCCGCTATTGCAAACGATGCGAGTTCACGAAACGTTATTACTGGTCTCCTGAAACCCCGTTGTAATCTACATGTTGGAGCTTTTAATGTTGGGTGGATCAATTCGAATAGCGATCAGCCACACTTTGCTTACTTACTATTTCTAGTCAACATGAATGGGAAATCTCTGTAAGTTCTCCGACTGTTAATGGAGTTGAAAAAGCTATAGAAAATCTGAAGCTAAGAAAAGCAGCATCGCCTGACAGCCTTAATTTTGAGATTTCTAAGGATGGAGGTCCAGTTTTTGCCGGTTAGATTGACTGAGATCGTAGGTAGAATCTGAGAACTGGGCATAATCCCATCTGACTATTCTCAATCACTGATTGTCCCAGTCTATAAGAAAAGACAAAAGTCCTCTTGTGTCAATCACCGAGGAATCAGTCTAACTAACTGTCTCTAAATTGTTAGTCTCGATAATACTTCGGAGCCCAACTACAGCTCTTGAAGAGCAGGCTCTAGAAAAATAGGCTGGTTTCAGACCTGGACGTGGATTTATCGACCGAATATTCACTCTTCGT